TCTCTATGTCTGAAAGTTTGGTTGATTTATGATAGGGAGTGAACATTAATGTGAAGAAATGATGCAAGATCCTGATAGACAGCAGATACTGTATCTCAGATCACTTTTTAGTTCCTTCCATGCAGCCTTACAGATGAAGTAAAAAAATATATTTTCTGCAGTTTACTTAGGATGAAACCTGGCATTAGAATGTAAAAATGGAAATTTATGTTACGACTTTCATCAATGGGAACAGTTAAGTGCTAATTAGCATTATATATGGTGAGGGATTTCAATAATTACTTCCTCTGCTCTCTCGGGCTTCTATCAGAAACTGGGCCTCTATAGCTCGTCCTATAGAGGTTCAAACGACGCATATTACCTTCCATCAGCCATCAGAAAGCTGTAACTCTCCTGTAACCATACTCCTACTGTCTGTATCCATGTGCATGTCTCATCTCTCCCACCGCATGTCTGTCTCAGTCTTTCACCCACACAGTTTCAGAAAAAAAAAGGAGGATGAGCAGGCATTTCTCCTCTCTAGTTTTATTTTTCTCCTTCATTTTCAGTCAGTCCCTCATCGTTACATGTTTTCAGCTCGTCATTTTCCCCTTTGGAGAGGAGTCAGAGCCCTTGGTGGTTGAATGCATCACGAGATAGGTTAGAAGCCCACTAACTGCGGCTCTTGACTGAATTTGATCACTGCTGAGATAGTGTCTTCCCCCTTCCCCCATGCTCTCATCACTTCAGCCATGTGTCGATCTACCCACTCACATGGATATGATTGCTCCAAGAAGAGCAGTAAACACCTGGTGGGGAAATAACTGGCATTCACTTATATAATATATATATATATATATATATATATCTCTCTCTCTCTCTCTCTCTCTCTCTCTCTATCTATCTATCTAGCTTTGTGTATATTCTGTATGCACTACGCATTCCTGATGCTCTATGCTTATCCATGGCTTTGTTCATGGGTGTGAATTCACATGTTGAAAGCATTGCACACTAGATTTTTATGCATGGGATGTGAGTGTAAAGCTGACCTTCACAACAGCCTGTCTCTCTTTATGTGACCTTTTTCTCTGATGGAACACGCAGGGGTCAGAATGTGTATTCTCCAATTCCCAGGGATATGGTATCACCATGACAACCCATTTTTTTTTACCCCCTGCTGTTTTCCCAGAGGAGTTCCGACTGAGTCGTTACCTCAACTAGTGGTTGAAACAAAGCCTACCTTCATGACATATTCCAACTAAGATCAACTTAAGATGCATATATGCAAGAATGGTAACTGGCTTGACCTCCCTGACTTGCTTTGATTTCCATTAAGTAGTCAAAATTTGTGCAATATTGACATTTTTTGGGGCTTTCATACCTTCATTGTAGAGTACAGAGGATAGAATAAGGAAACTAGGATGAGAGAGTGGGGAATTACATGCAGCTAAATGCTGAGGTTTTGCGGTCGAATCCTGGGCCGCCTGCTTCAAGGACTATAGCCTCTGAACAAATGGTTCCAGCGTTTAAAACCATTTTAATTCCACTTTTAAATCCTTATTAGGTAGATTCATCTCATTTATTTAAAGCTCATGCAAGAAGCTTTTTGCTGGTTATGAAACTGAGCAAAACAAATACTGATGCCATTTTATGACCTACAAAAGCCAATGAGAACATCAGCATCAAGACTGGTTACTTCTATATTCACTAATGCCTGTAACTTAATGCCAGACAAAGTGATTGAATGCATGCCCCCATAACAGCCCAAGGCAAAGATTCTTCACAAGTGATAATCTTGACCTTTAATAGAAAGCAGGAGGAGGTCTTTAGTTTGAAAACACTACTTGCACGTGTACAGGACAAAATCAGCAAAGACATAGGAGGTACCTCCTTGTCCACAGGGGACACCAATACCAACGCAAACTGAAAGTTCCTCACAGGAGCTTTAATAACTTTGAATGAAATAGTGTCAATATATAGCTGACTTTGCTCACAACACTGTTGTCCATAAACTAATTCCAAGTTTCCAAGTGTGATCCATTTTCTATTTGCAGTGTTTACCCTGCTCCATTTCTTAGTCTTGTAATTGCACAATTCATATTTAAGTCATAGGAAAATTCAATTCAGCCCCTCACCAACACTAGCCCTGCTTCATCCACTTTAGTGGTTCGCTACACTTTAAGTGGTTTGTCATCAACGTAAGGGAGTGCCACAGCAAAGGAAACTTGTCAACGTTCTGGTCCTCAAATGTGTGGCTCCCAAAGCAAACCATGAAACACCTAATTTAGAAAGCCTTTTATCATCACAACTAGCCTTTTTTTTCACTGTCAGGCAGGTTCTTTTTCTTCTCCGTCGTACCATGTTTAGGGTTTCTTTCAGATTAGTTTTGTATGCCACACTGTGAGGTGATGTGCAGCACATTCTGGTTCAGCCACTGTGACCAAGCTTAGCGCTCAGCATCCCAAGACTGCTGTCATCAGCACAACCCCCTAGCACTACATCAGTGGCGTAATCGATCTGTCACCATGTCCTCTCGAAGAATTCTGTCGCTCTCTCTAATGCAACGCTGTGTCTCTTTCTCCCCCTCCCATCCCTCTCCATCCCTGCCTCTTTGAATTCTGTCTGTATGTGTTATTTCTAATTAGCTAATTATTTGATTGTGTGCACCAGCTAGGGGTAAATATTAGCTGTGTGCACAGAGGAAGGCAGTGTTTGGATTATTCTACAATGTTGTTTGTCTATTTGTCTACCACAATGAATGTTTTCCTCTGATTCTGAGCAATCTCTGATCTCAAACAGACAATTACAAATATATGGGTTTATTTACTAATATTTGACATTTCTATCTAGTATATATATATAAATGAGATAGGAAATGAGTGTTTGGTAATTTGAATATGAACGTTTCAGTTTTATGTTTTGTTTTGGTATTCAGTTCCCAAATCTTCAGCAACAAGACTTTTTGAGAGACTACACGTGGAAAAATGTGAAATATTTGACTCTTACGGCAGCCTTTAGGAATACAAATCAAATCCTTGAATGTTTCCCCTTGTCGTGCATTTGTCCAAAATGAAGCTCTACACACACATGGAGCTGCATCAGTTGTGCCACAGGCAATGAGAACTGCAGTCTAAGCAGTTCACTCAGATCACTGATATCAGTGCCACAGGACACATGGAGAAGGCACCTGCTAATGAGAACACACACTCCCCCGCTGCACATATAATTAGATGGTGGGAGTTTTATTTGAACTTTGGAAACCATTCAAATATTCAGTGTGATGGTTGGGAGACATTAAATACATAATGACAATCTAGGTCTAAAATCAATCATTCACCGCCTTCACAGATGACTGGATGCTACAGTTATAAAGATAGAATTAGCTTGAAATATCCTAAAAAGTTTTTTGTATGACGGAAATAGGCTTAGTTATACATGTAGCAAATGGTACTGTACTTGCAGGTTACATGAAACCGAGTGTATTCATATTCTGTTTTTAATGCTTCTGATTTGTCTCAGAGCACTTGCATAATTGTGGAGGGAATGAAGTAGAAGAAAAGTTTGAAGTCTTTCCCCTGAGAGCACGAACATAACAGACGTTTCATGTTGTCAAAGTGACGACTTTTCTTGAGTTCGTTACTGTAAGCCATTTTTTTTTTTTTTTAAATACAGCTATGATAAAACTGTCCTGCCCTGACATTGTGTGACAAGCGCTGAAAGACATTCCCCCTCACTGCCCCTGCTCATCTACTGACTACATGCTGCCAAATACAGTCATTTACATTGAAAAGGGTCAGAGGGAGACAACAATTTTAATCTCAATTGTCTGTTCATCCTGCAAGATGCTACTTTCGAATGTAGCAGGATTTGAGGTTGCTGTGCATGATTGAACTGTGGCATTGGCTCAATCAGCCATATGGCATGCTGGAGAGGACATGTTGAGAGAAGAGTGTTAACCCTCCTGTAGTGATAAAACCTACAGTATGGATTTATCCCTCCAGATCTGGTGTTTATACTCCAAGCCTAACACAACACCCATACATAATTTACAGTTTTCATGTTTGGAACATGTCTGCACATGAGCATATTAAACCCTCAGCATTGGTTGTATTTTGATAATTTCTTGAGTTAAGACACTGTTTGCTTGTGTCATTTCTCTTATAAAGCCAACATTGAACATACTTACAATGCAGATGTTTCCCCTTATCCTCATCCCGCCTTATATTTCCCAATGTCTCTTGAGAAAAAAATGCTCATTACAAAACACTTTGCATCCTTCCATCTCTTCCTTCTCGCCTGTCTTCGTCAGACATCCCGGGGGTGACTCCACCACTTATACACAAGCAGACTGTAGCCTCTGCTCTACTTCAGTTCTCTCTTGGCTTATCTCCTTTCTTCTAGACCTGAACATCCATCATCATTTCATAATTGCTTTCCTATTATAAATGCTTTACTACCCTTTTGGATTCAAATATGCACATTAATATTTCTTGAGGTCACCAGGCAACCAGTCAAATGAATGTAATGCAAAGAATCATTTTAAAGACGCTATTGCAAAGCACAAAAAACTACCAATATTCAGTCATATGATTGATTGATTTGACGTTAAAATTGTGTCATGCATAAACAATATGCCCAGCCCAAAACAGTCTTGCAAGACAATGTGAATTTGCAATGCAATTTTTTGTGAGCCTAGGGCTACTAGCCTGTTGCTTGGGTATCCAAACGGATATTGATATTGTTTCATTTTTAATAGAACCATATCCAAGTGTTAAATTCTGGCATTCTGACAACCCTAGCACAAATGATCACTATGGCCATCCATTGATACAAGTAACAAAAAGAATGGAGTTGCTGACTATTCACAGCTGATTTAAATAGCTGTGACAGAGACCAGACTAAATATGAAGCACTTTAAATGGCTCTATAGGGAAAACAGAAAAAAGGGAATGGGTTTTTACAAAAGTGCCTTTAGTTGAGGCACACTTTCTAACAGTCTCCTTTGCTTTCTTTTATTTCAGATTGAACAGACCTCCAGCTCCCTGAAGAACCATCAAAGTCATCCTTGTTAATGTAACATAAGTGGGGAGCTGAAGTGAAAAATATTTTATGAGATGACATTTCGTCCTTGGACTAATCAGCTGAAGGGCCATTATAACACGGAACCTGAAACATTTGTAGGTCTATACATGGCCTCAGAACCCTGCAGGTGTCTTTGAGCCCTTTGATTAAATCGATTCAAAATGAGCTTCCCAACTGGTATTCAGGGCATAAGGGTCAATGTTGAAAGAGGAGAGAAGATTGGCAACAACAAAACCCAAATCCAGTTCCCTGATGGGGATGACAATGCAAATCGATTAACTTCAGTGGGTGACCAAGAAGGAAGAAGACTGATGGAGGACACAGTGTACAGCACAAGCTCAATACCTCCTCTTGTTTCTCAGACTGACTCCCCAGACAAGTTGGTGATTTGGGGCTCTGAACAGCAATGTATGGAGCCTCAGCTGAGAGAATTTGAGGTTTTGGAGTGTCAGGAGATACATGCATTCTTGGGGAACAGGGATCAGGATGAGGACGAAGACGATGGTGGAAGTTTGAGAGATGGCAAAGACGAGGGTCCCATGTCAATATCCTCCAGCTCAACTGCCAGCTCTGCCTCAACTGGAGCGAGGAGAAATGACAATGACAGCAACAAAGTGGAGGGCAGAATACAGAGGGGCAAAGAGGTGCAGAAAAGGATTGCCTGTCACAGCACCGAAGAGCTAGACACATGTGTGACAGGCTCAATAGAGAGAAAAGACACCAGGTCAGGAAGAGTAGGAAACAGAGAGAGACAAAAGGGAGGTCTGAAGGAGTCCAAGTCAGAGACAAATGTGTTTGTCTCAAGTCTTTCAGCTGTTGCCCTCAGCGGGAGTCTATCAAGTGCGCTTGACACTAGCGTAGAAGCCCATACTTTCATCTCGATGTGCAACTCCAAGAGCAACCTTTATCCCAACACAAACAACACTACCTCAGCCGAGACAAGAAGAAGGGCAGCTCCTGTAGATGCCAACCAGACCTCCCCTCCATTGCATCCTCAGGAGAAGCCTCGCATTCCTCAGTTCTACAGCCAGGATCGAAGACATGAGGAGAAAAGTCTGCAAAGAAATGAATCCTCTTCTGATGTGGGTTTTGGCCAAAGAAGGAAAGCTGGCTTTGAGGAGAGGGTCATGCCACCACGACGGCAGCAGCTTGTCAGACCCCTCTGTCAGACGGAGACAGGAAGTGCAAAGAAATCAGCAGAGCCCAATGACCAACAGGTTGAAACAGGGCCATCTTTTTTCCCAAAACCCACTCTAGATTCACACAGTTGTGAATCTAACAGAAAGTTTACAAAATCCTCTTTACGTGAACCATCCGATTTCTCATCCCTCTACCACGCATCCGGAGTCTTACAGCCTAGACAGCCAAACCCCGCAGTCCAGAGGGAGGCTCGTCCTGTAGAGAAACAGCCAGTTACAACTGCATGGCGGAACTCAAGTCCTGCCAATCCCTCCTCTCTTGAGAAGAGACCCCAGACTCAGCTTACATACAGAAGGAATTGCTCCAGTCCAAACAGGACAGGGGTTGATTCTAGGTCATCGACCCCTCCCCACTCCCCTCTCAGGACACCCCAGGGTTCACCACGCAGGCAATCCTCCATGTACCTCGTTTCCAGGAATGTCCCTGGAGTCGTTCGACACATCCCAGGATGCAACCCTGCTGTAACAACATCAGCTCAGGGCTATGGCAACAGTTGCATGAGAGCACCAGTCAAAACTAACATAAGCACAAGTGGAATCCCAAAAGCGCCTCTTAACAACCAGCAGAGCTCAAGCCCCAAAGAGAGCTCCCCATCACCTAAACTTAAACCGAAAGGAGTTCGGCCCAAAATCATCACTTATGTCCGAAAGAATCCTCAGTTTAAGCCTCAAGCTGCTGATGGACCTTATCAGGTATCCTCTCTACCATCCAGGCTTTCAGCATACACACATGGCCAAACAACCACTTCTTTCAAAGACACCACAAGAGACCCTTCCAAGCCTGAAGCAGAAACCAGAGGACCCCCCGTTCTTAGTGCCTCTAATCTGCTATATGACAAGTACCGCCAAGAGATGCAGACAAGCATCTTCCCATCAGGTGTGCTGAGCAGGAGTATCAGGGCCCCTGGACATACACACACTGTCCCACCTGCACACACTCACAGCCACACAGCACCTCCAAAATTGGGCAGCAAGGCAGACTTCTATGGGGCACCATCAGAGGTCAGTATTATGTACAGTCTTTTTCTAAGTTTAAGTTTGTGATTAAAAGTTATTGTCATTTCCAAACCTATCAACTATTGTCTTGCAATACAGCCTAATTATAAAATTGCTTTCTGGGCTTCCACATGGATTGGATTTTAATGCTTTAAGACTTATTTTCCAAAACGTTTCCTGTTAAACTAGCAAATAGAGAGACAAAGTTGGGTTAAAGAGAGAACATCTTAGATGCTACTTGATGACATTACTCGTACTACAATCAGAATCTTGACCCTAGCTGGGTTTGTGCACAGTCCACAAAGGATTTTCTACGAAGCTGGGCTCTAACACAATCCAAATGGCATTTATAAAGAACTTGCATTCAAAGTGCTTTGCAAGGCTTTTGCCATACTTCTATTCATTCACACATACACTCACACACTACCATGCAGTGTCCTGGCCTGACCTTTTAGCAATTAAGGGTTCAGTGTCTTACCCAAGGACAGTTTGAGTTTGTGGAAAAGACAAATTGGAAATCGGACCACCAACCCTGTCGTCGGTTGAATTACACTACATCATTAGCCCCAGACTCCTCATATGTGAATCACAGCACATTCACAAAGAAAGTAGCAAGGTCATGTACACAGTTAATGATACAAAATGAGCACAGAGAAAAACATCTTCTGTTACAGTCATTGACACTGCATATCAGTTTTGATGGCTGTTGCCTATAGTTGCAATTTTACAGTAAACCATGTATAATTGATCAAAGATCTGCTGCATATTATTCCCACTCCCAAACGAGCTGCTCATTAACGCTTTAAAATCATCCCTTATTGATTCTGATTAAATAGCTTCATTGAGTATTCATATTCATGCAGCGTCAAAGACCAGAATATGGGAATAAATAGTTAATGCATTTGAAGTAGAAAGCCCACAGGGATTTAAGGATTCTCTCTGCTCTATATGTTACAACATGCGTGTTAGCATTTTGTTCGAGGGACAAATCTTGCTCTTGATTTATGGAGTTGATAGTTCCTTTATCTATTTCTTGGTTCCCTTCAGGTCAATGTTAAGTTTAATTTAGTGCTAGAATGTCAGATTTGATGTGTTCCATGTTTCATCAGACTGTTTTTCCACTTTTAATCTGATATGTGTACACACTACATTCATGTAACCATTATTTAAATCAGTTATCAGCTTTTGCAATTAGCATAACATTGAATGCAAGAAGAAAATCTAAAAACGCGAGTGTTTAATTTGCGACTCAAAGTGTTTTACAGTTAAAACTAACACATACATATGTCTTGAAAGTGATAAAGATTTTTGTTGAAGTCTTGCATGATTATAAAACCTCAGATACAGTAGCTAACATGCATGTAGTTCAAATCTTAAAATCTTCTCTAACTTCCATTTACTTTTAACCCACACATGAAATACCTACTATTTCATTTCAGTTTCGGTCAGCTTCCAAGGGTACATTATATACTTACAGAAGGACAAAATCCAGAAATAAGTACAGTGTTATAATGAACACTTATGAGTAGGACTGCACATTTACTCTATGTGTGAGGTCGCCCCTCTATGAGAATTGACATGGTCTCGGGCCATAGAATTTAAAGTTGTTAGTGGTTCACGAGTCTAAAATTCAAAAGACATCAAGCTGATTGTGTTTTTAAATTAATTTAAATGTTTAAATGTCTAGATGGGCAGATCTTCCAGTTTAAAAGGCAGCACTGCTGAGGATGCACTGCAGGCTCGAACAGCCACTCATGCCGGAGGAAGCGGCAGTCTCTTGCGCACTGGCCGGGGTCTGCGTCTGGGTCTCGGAGCCGTCAACAGGGCGGCTACAGGGTCAGCCAAGGGCAGAGGACTAGGTCAAGGTCAGAAATCAAGCCTTGTCATCAGCCAGCCTATCCAGCCTGTCAGCCCAGCGCAGAGTCAGAAAAGCCAAGATAACACAGGTATGAAAACATCTCCTCGCATTTTTCTTTTGAGCAGGTTTTCATTTCCTCACAGAAAAAGATGCAGATGGAATCTTTTGAACTACATGTCAGATTTTATTTCGGCAACCCAAAACTTGAAACACTGGAGAGCTACCTTATGTTTCTTCTCTTGTGCTGTGGTGGGACTGTCTCTTCTTCAAATTGGCATGAGATGAAGGCAGCTCATTAAAATGAATATCCTGAGATTTTGCACGCTGATTGGAGGGTTTTTAAGAAAAACTCTGAAGGGACGTTTTCTGTGCCAGAAGGCTGCCATCTACAAAACAAAATGAATAAATAAAAGCTTGCTCATTCTTTCTCCCCACGTACAGCGAATTTATTATTCAGATGATTCAGTTACCATCTCTGACTGCTGAAGTCAGACTTACATTACAGCTCGACTGTCACAGGAACATTAATGTATGAAATTTTCTCATCACCAAGCACACAGCTGGAAAGCCATGCCATTTATCACATCCATGCATATTTGATCTGCCCTCTCACACATAACCCAAAAAACGCACGTACAGAATTGATCCAGCCTAGTGTTATGATGTGCCAAGCTTCTTTATCATAATCCCTATTAATACATATGTATGTTGTCTCAGTGCTGCATGGCCCTCCAGGGTATTACAAGCTTTGAAGTGAAAAGCAATTAACGTTTAAGTTATGTCAGTATCTTCCTGCTGGAATCATCCCTCCTGCCTGCTGCCCTTCATACTGCATGGATAAACACAAGTTAAAATTCTGAATAAACTGCATATACAGCATTAGTCAGCATTGTGTACAGGTGTCTGCTCTTGTGTGTATAAGCTTCATAATTAAGTGTTTTTTGTTTTTTCTGTGGTTGTTTTTTTATCCCTCTCCTGGGGGAATCTGAGCTGTAACCCTTTGTAATGTGCCAATAAGCACTTTATTTCCTCTTTTTCATCACTGTTAATTGTAAAAGCTTTCGTGGAGGGAAATCTCTATCTTGTGTACACATATCACAGTAATTATACTGCTCAGTATTGTAGAGCAGAACTCTAACTACTCACATAATTACTGTGTAGGTTTGAATATCTGCGTTACCATGATAATGAGGTTCATCCACCTACAGTACAGGACGTTTGATAAAGCACTGAAACTTCTGCATATTGAGGCACTCATCTTGACTAGTTCTGCAGAGATTGCAACACACTCCAGTATCACATTTAATAACCTGCAATTTAATGCTTTGTGGAGGAAATCCATGCAGGCTGTAGCAGCTCACCTTGGGCTGCAATTAAAATCGGCTGGTCATTACAGTGCTCATTTGAGTCGCCTGTCCCATTGACTTTTCTCAGCCTAGTTTACATAATTAATTTCCAGTCAGGATGCCTGGTCTTCGGATGAAAGCCTGTGGATGTTTACGTTGTTAGGTTTTGCAAGGGTTGTTCGGAAACTGAATGCAGTGTTTCAGACCTGCAGGCAAAGTTAAGTGGTTTTATTCTAATATTTCCAATAGCTGAAGGGAAACTACGGTAAGTGTATGACCAAAAAAATATCCATGGTTCAATGATGTATGATGCATTTTCAAAGTCACGCTTTCCTATTTAGGTCCTTTTCGAGTGCCACTTTATTATATAGAGGGCATTTTGCATTGCAGGTGCAATTTGTAGGGAAGTAGGGAAGTGATAAATGAGGAACACAAAAGAATTAGACTTTTAAAAAAGTTACTTCAAGGCTAAAATAACAGAGAGTGAAACATAAATAGAAAGGACAGTCAGAGCCATATGAATAATTCCATCTCCCTTTTTCATGAGCAGAGGTCCGTGATATCTAGGCTAAAGTGGATGTTTGTCAGGCTCACTTCTCTTCCGGGTCTCTCAGAGGAAGTGATTGGAAAAGGGTTGGGGGCAGGATGGAAATGAGGACATTTATCTTTAATGATCCTGAGTTCTCCCGACCTTCTCACTCAAGAGAGGCGAGCTCCAATCAAAAAAAAAAACGACTGCATGGCGCAAAGGCAGATATTGTTGGGGAGGGAGGAAAGAGGTAATAAGTGTGAACAGCTGAGTTGTACCTGGAGGGGACTTACACAGGAGACTCCTCTCCCTCTTTGTTTTGCTCCAGCAGCAGAGCTGTTGTTCTCCTTCTCAGAGTTTTGTATTTCTTTTGTGTTGGTGTGGTGCTTACCCTGTAGCATGCACTGAAACACAGCTGTGCTAAATAGAGAGAAAAGGAGGACTGCCTACCTTATCTCTGCAGCCAGCAGGGGATAATGCTTTTCTTCTGCCCAGGATCTAAACCTTTTACTGCAGGCAGGGGTAGACAAGATGGGTCTGGGTCCTGGGGATTTTGCACACTGTGTGAATGTGTGTGTGTGTGTGTGCAGCTTTCGTTGTTCATGCCTTCACAGTTCATCTGTTTTTTTTTGCTTTTAGATTACGGAGAGGGGGATTTCTACCCATTGCTAGCCGACAATAGCTGCCTCTATGGGGCTATGATTACTTTTTTATCCCCTCTTTTCTAGCTTTGATTCCCTGCCTTTTCTTTCTCTTTGCTTCTCTTTTCTACCTTTCATTAAACCCTTATTTTCTCATTTAATGTCCAGAAAACTGGATAATAGAGCCATAGCTGCAAATCACTTTAATGCATATAATAATGAGGGCTTACCTTTCGTATTATTAACTTCAAATACAAGCTAACACAGTGTAAGCATTGGAAAGATTTATCATCGACTGTATGTCCTGAGTTATTTGTGTCACAGTGAACGTCCTAGCTGTGTTGACGTTGAAGTGCTGGCTGCATGCCCACCGTTAAAACAAGGCCAGAGCCAAAGCAGCTGTTAGCAGCTTGTTGTGTGTGCAGTTATTATATTTGCTTGCTGTAGCAGTCGGAGTCATAACACCGAAAACTTCCTGGTGCCCGCTGAGAGCTTAGTCAACACAGGATGATGAATGATTCATCACATCATGCTGATTTCGCTGCATTTTGTTGGTATGATGGGGTTAATGAGTTTACAGTAGTTACGCAAACACTCACAGTCCATGCAGCGCTGTACACGAACCTGTTAAATATTAAACAATATCCTTTTTTTCTTCGTATTTCCGAACAGATGATGTTTTTACCCATGATGCTCCTGTTCCAGCCACAGCAGCAGCTCAGCCACACCCTTCCACCTCCAGGTCCACGCTTACTAAAACGAGCCAGTCAGGTCTGCGACCCCCGGGCTTCAGCTCCAGCCGCCACCCCGCCGGTCGCTTGGCAGCTTTTGGCTTCGTTAGGAGCTCCAGCGTGTCCTCTGCCACCTCCGCTCACTCGGCCGACAGCACACAGAGCGACCCCTGCAGGACAGCTCACCGTAAGTCCACACGTCACAGATCTGTTGGCGTCATTGTCATTTCATTTTCCAGCATCAGTATGTGTGTCTCACCAGAACTTTCACACACGCATCTCATTTATCACCACATCATGAGTGCACTATTATCATCATCATCACACAGTCTTTATTGCCTCCTTCTATGAATCCCCTTCATGAATACAGTTTGCATAAACAGAACCCTCCCACATTCATTATGTTACAGTTTGCTCCATCTTCCTGAGCTCCACCTTGCTCTATAATTTATTCTGCACTCTGTTAGTCTCGAACTCGTGCAAAGTGCAGGTGAAAAACAACTAACAAGCAGACTTGCACAGCACATTTTCTGAGACACATAAGGCCACAATACAATGGTGCGTTTCTAGCCATAAAAATTGGCAACGCAATGATACTGTTGTTATTATTTGGGTATTAGTTTAACTGTTTGTTCCATAATTTCTGAGAATACACGATAGATTCAAAAAGAAGCACTAATAAAAGCTTATTCTGATCGAATTAAGGTTAGAGGTCAGACTATTGTGACACTGTTACTGACTGCTAAATACAGTATGTACCTGCAAAATGATTAAAGGGAGGTGAAATGTTGCAAAGCTGTGAGATTAAACTCAGTAAGTGTTAGTTGGGACTTTTGAAAATTAGAAAGTCTCCCTGTTTGATAGCCTGTAACATTTTTCCATCTTGAATGTATGTAAAACAAACACAGCACAGGATGTCCCTCCCCGGACTCATCAGTAATTTAACAGGCTCTAAACTAGGTCTGTGCTGCACATTCAGTCAGCATTAGCAGAGATAACAAGAAAGTGTTGACAGACTTTAATTTTGACACTCATAGAGAAATGGAGTTGGACATAACAGTCTAATTGTAATGCTGCTTGGCAGGCTGGTCTGTTAGTTGGCTGAATTGGTGGTAACTGCATGTGTTTTTAATGTGACCTACATAGAGAACGCTGGTGGTTCTTCTTCTCCCAGTTACAGTTGACGTAAGCACCCCCGCTCTCACGCACATCAGGCCCCCTGTTATGTCATCACTCCTTTCTCTCGTCCCCCTCTTTTTGGACTTGGACTGTTTCCATCCCTCTCTTCTCTCTCTCTCTCTCTCTCATTGGTGGAAATTGAATTCAAAGTGTGTGGTAATGCGGGGAGGCACCTTTTTAAGCTTCTTTTGAAGAGGAAAAGAGGACTCCCCTGAGGGTCTCCAGTGTGTTCTTTTAAGAAAAGTGGCATTAATCTTTTTGTTTGAAAGAGAGCTTGTCATGCCTGTTTTTTGAAGGCCTAGACAGACATATATTTTACATTTCGTTTCAACTGTGTTTCAATTAAGATGTTATGAAAAAGGCTTTCATTTAATCATGAATGGTGCCCTAATTTGCTTTGTGTGTATTAGCAAAGTGTGTAAAAATGTGAGTGTGTTACAGATTTTTGACATTTGCTTTAATGACTGTTAGAAAACAAGATTTGACTTTAGTGATACTAAACTGAATGTTTGGGGGTTTTGTTGGGATGATCAGGCCATGTTAGGGTGTCAACTGGAGCTGCTAGAAACCATGATGGGCTTTCTCACTCTTTTGTGACTAAACATATCTGTTAACCTTTCATTTAGTGACAATAAAGCAATCAACCACTCAAAGTGTGTAGTATGGGAAGTACATTTGCTAAGTTAAAATGTAAAAACACAAGCATATACATGCATCTTTATGAACAGATTGTGGCTGCAGACAAACTCAAAATAACTGACAGTATTGAATTTACCCCTCCCCTTGTTGGACGGCCAATAGCTTAATTTATGAAGTACAGCGCAAATATCAATATCATTAAACCATAAAATGAGATTCAAGCAAGAGGAAAATCTCTCCTGCTCCAGTCAGCTTAGTTATTACTGACTGTAACTGCATCCACTAAGATATATATGCACTTAATACCATGCCCTAAACTCTTGCTTGTTAGCATATTAGGTATTTAAATAGATGCCAATATTAATGTGCAGTTTTATTCCATGAATCTATAAACTTTATACCTCTTTAGGCATTTTTGACTGCTTTAGAAATATACCGCTGTAAACACACACTCCGACTCACTCCCACAGCACGGAAACACCTGGCAGAAGAAGTTTTTAAAGTAGCGCCTGCAGCAGAATGTTTCTCTTCCTGCTGCTTCTCAGCTCACGGGGAGACCAAAATGGAATCAAGGATGATAGACATGAGAGGCTGAAGATTAAGGGCCTTTGATGTTCATTTCTCTGTCTGAGTGACTGTATATATGTGTGTAAGAGGCAGGAGGGCAGAGCAGGAACATTTTACTTTCACTTTTGACTCTGTTTGGTGCCTGTGACCTTTGTCTGAGAGGCATTTGAACCCTCCACTCTATTTGAACCTTCCAGACTAAAGTGGGCTTGACTGACGATCCCAATCTGTCTCTCCTGGTGGTTGAGCTTTAACCAGAGGATTGTCTGATTTTTTTTTTACCTTTCTCTACAACATTGGGAACACTGAAGAGTCTCATAAGTTTTTTCCAAGCTTTGAAACTTTTTCCTTCTTGTATTTTCTTGACCTGGGTTAGGCCATCATACATTTGCATTTACAGATTACGTTTTTCAAAAACAACACGGTTTGAAACGGGACAAAGACAGAATTAGTCACAGCCCTGAACTCAGTGATTACAAATTAGATGCTATAAAATGATGGGTTGTTGTCTGTCCTAGAGGCATTTAAGATGAGCAGTAAAATTAGGGATGGCATTTTCTTTCAAACGAAGCTCCTTTCCCTGATTTGAATTCCAGACAGCATCAGTTTAATCCCAAAAAATAATTGCATTTTGAGATCATAATCTAGCCTGAGGCAGAACGTGAAATATTGGGTGTTTTTGAGTGACTGAACAAATCAATCTGTTGTTGAATACTGACGGGGTTTGAAAAGTTAAACAGCAGTCATGAGCATGATAAATGGTCTGCGCTTTCTCATTCCTGTGGGAGTGTCTCTGTTGAGTCCATGTTTATGTGTGTGAGGGTGAATGAAAGATGTACACATCATGATTATTTGAGTTACCTTATGATCTTTGCTCCTTCTGCATCACTGAAACAAAACAGATCAAAGAGGAGACGGATTGGGGGGTGGTATAGACACACCTTCCAGTCAAAGATATTGGGGCAGCCACTGAAAACTGCAGAGCATCCTCCTGAAATAGAGACAAGAAAAAGCGGGCTGAGTTACTCGTTTTCGTCATTGATCAGCAAGCAGTGCAGACTCCATGAGGGCTCTGGATGATACGGATAGGAGAAATCATTAAGGAGTAGAGCGATGGGGAGGAAAGGATTGCTGCGCTCAAGTAAAGTGGGTTAGTGGAAGTATCCCAGGAGTTTATACTCCCCACTGTCATAGCTCGCTAACCTGCTCTGATCAATGGCTGCTGTGCAGATGCAGGAGTATGTGTGCATGTGCAATTGTGTGTCTGTGGAGAAGAGAAATGAGAGGCAAAGAAAAAAAGGAATACTTGAGAGGATATGCAATTATAAGAACAGGCATTAGTTTATGATTACAATGTGGGGTTAGCTCACCAAAATGACAGGCACAAAACGTGCTTTTTTCCACGTTTGCCTTGTAAGAAACCTACTTAGTCATGGTTTTATTTTCCATTTTTTGAGAAGTCAGTATCTGAGATTTCTGCCTGCATTCCAATAACACAGTGATGAATAAAATTCTATTTGTGGAGAGCACAGCACTGAAAAAATGTTTTTAAAAAATTCAACAGCACAATATCCTCCCAGAAACCATGTCCCAGTTTCTTGGGTTAATCCACTGAATAGACATTCATACCAGTGCTTTTTTTTTTGAGGGGCTATTTCTCTGGTATGAAAGTAGCTCCAATAAAATCTGATGACAGCTTGTTGTGTTGACTGCACTATATGGAACGGAGGCAGACGTTTGAGAAATATGCTAATAAGTAAAATAAAGTAAGACATTTTTGTTTGGTGTACTCTACATTTAAAATTGTGATTTATATTCCCTGTGATAGAAAACCATCAGCCTTCAAAAACCCTCCAGATATTTTGTAAGGGAGAAAATCATGGATCCTGAAGACCAAAAATGGAAATGTGTACAACACTCTTACATTAGCCAATGTGTAGCCAAGGTGACATTGAGATAAACTAATATAGCCTTAATTGATTAGAATTGCCTGTTTGCATAAAAGTAAGCATACAAGTATGTGTGTGTTTGCACATAGAACCTTTGGGGCTTTGGTGTGCTCTACACAACATTGATTGTCCGTTAACCCAATCCTCCTTTTAGCCTGATCGCTGATATCCCTGAAGGTTTTACAGGAACGTGAGTGTGTGTGTGCGCGTAAGTGCATGCATAACCATTAGAGAGGGCATGTGTAAGAAACATGCAAGAAACCTTGGGGGCTGCTTTGTTAATTCCACTGTGATTGACAGACTCCATTACATAGCTGCAAGAAGGATTCAAAAAGAAAAGGCTGATGAAGCCTGTAGCTTTGAGCCACGCCGACTTCCACGACAGAAACTCAATAGCTTAAACAAACTTTGTATTATTAGTGCATTATCGCCTCAATCCGTCTTCCCATCGAGTGATAATGAAATAAAGTTGGAAATCAAATTGAACGAATGGAAAAAAGGAGCTGACACCTGACGGGGTGATGGAGAGCTGAAGGGAGATGCAGTGATAAAGGCAAATTCAATGAGACGAAATGAGCAGCGGGGAAAGAGGAAGGGAGGATGTAAAAGGAAAAAAGAGGGGAAAGAGAGGAGCGATGAGGGATTGGCGCAGGAGGACAGAGTGGATGCCATACCCCAGATGCCATGGCTCAGATCTGGTCTGTGACTCATGCTAGCTCACTGTGAACAGATGGTTTCTATGGTGCGCACACAGACATACACACACCTATATACACACACTCAAACGCACGCTTGCAAAGCAGCAAATTAGACGGGCCAATTAGATATGGCTGCCATTCTGCGGCTGAGGGGA